ACACTGCATAATACATTAACTGGCACTGTTGCAAACTGAAAATTTTTAATGCTGCTAACCAAAGATATTCCCATTTCCATTTCTTTCTGTCTTTTTCCTCTTTTTGTAGAGAGGGACATGTTTCATGCAGGAATATAATAAGGATAAACCGTAAAGACAATTCAGTAATTACCCTTAACAATATTTTTCCACTAATGCAGTTGGAATTACTAAGGTGTCAGTTTTCACTCTTCTTTACATACAGTAAATTTCACAGTTCAGATGTCCTTAATGATTATTGGCTTCTGCCCAAATATTTTGATTAAATTATTTCAGAACATCAGACTATATATGACATTAATAAAGATCCAAGACAAGTGATGATATGAAAAAGCCATGAGTAACTTGATGATCTAAAGAAGAAAACTTAAGATATTTTATATTGTTATTACCTTATTTTTCCACTTAGATTAAAGTTTGACTTGGCCTCAAAACTGAAGCAGATTCCGTAGTTTCTGTGGAATATAATTCCAATACTTGATTTATAATTGCAGTAACTTTCTCATAATTTATAATTCCTTTCCACATTCAGTGTTATAACAAACATACAGTTTTCAAATATATTTATTTAATGAAAATATATGTCATTAGTCATTCTTAATACGATCAGACTTTAAAGCCCTTCATTAAAAGATATATTGTCTTTTTTAAATGTTCTATTTTAGTCAAAAGAGGGAACTCTATACAATTCCCAATTTGTAGTAATGTTTATTTAAATAATAATAAACCAAATAACTAAAAAGCTCATTTAATGCATATTTTTTCATTCTTAAATTAATTTATCCTTTTTATACAAAATAACAGCACATGAAAATATTTTTACACACTTCTGAGGATGTGTGCAGGTATGAATACATTTGCATATTAAATCTTGAATAAGGAGTGTGTTGTATATGAATCTTGAGGACAATTCCAAGTTTCTGCATTTCAAAAGGATTGAACCATAGTTGTTAATAGGTTATCATGAAACATTAGATGTATTTTCAATATTAAGTTATTTTGTTGGTAGATGAAATTTTTAAAAAATCCTGTTCCTAGCTAAAATATGTCTGTTCTTAATAGACTAAAATAGGTGTCAGTTTTTAAGAGGCAGTTTAATTTTCATATCAACGCACTGAAATCTAAAATGCAAGTGCAAGTTTCAGGGGAAAAAATCTTCAATATCATAAAATGTAATTTGATTGTCTCCAATATTTTTATATGCCCATGATAAACTTGAGACCAAACTGCCTGGAAGAAGCAGTTATAAAGTTCTATATTTAACATAGGAATTTTAATTCATTTTAAAATAATTCATTTTAAAACTCCAGTACATACTATCTTCTAACAGTGATGCCCTAATATTTCTTTATAAAATGTTGGTAAGCACATACACATATCCCATTTTATCCTTAGAGCATTACTGAAAAAAGTCATTTCCTACTGAATATCATAATTGAATAAGATTTAAACTGAAATTTCCTTTAACAGATCTAGTTTTCTATATCATTTTGACTCTCCTATATTGTCTTTGGGACTTCAATCTTAAATATGCTAACATAAATGTTTTAAATTGTGTGGTCAACATGAACTGAAATGATGTTCAATATAAAAATCATTTTAAAACCTTTAATACATTTATATAAAACCTGTATGTACATGAAGATTCTTTCCAAATCACCTAATATACTCTTTACTTTTGCATTTAAAATTAGTACAAAACCTCATGCTTGGTTTATGCTTATAGTTTTTAACCCAACTATAATTTGAACTCCCAAATGTACCAGCAGACCATGTTTGGAAAGCCTTGTTTGCTGTAACATTGTCATAGATGCCTAACACTTGAGTATCCATACCAGTCTTTCTGAAGAAGACCAGTATCCTTTACATGTGGAAAAGTAGGCCATAACTGTGGCTTGTCAGTCAGATATTAGCAGAAAGAACACATGAAATAATACTTAATTTCTTATTTTTTCAATAAAAAAGTTGCCAGGCCACAACAGCTTTTTTAGAATAAGCTACTTCAAGAACACGGATTTAAATTGTTGCCATAATAACTCTTACACAGGTAAATTAATTAGGATAGACTGAAGTACACAATAGTTACAGCGGTAGTTCTCTTATATTCTGATTATTGAACATAAAAGGAGACGTGCTTGTGAAACAGAAAGATGCACTCAAATAATTACAAACATTACATCACATAAATAAGTGAGGATGTTTTGAATTGCAAAGTGATACACTCCCGACCACGTGAATTTGTCTTTAACTTTTGGTTTTTAATTTCCTTTTAAAAAACCTTGCTTTTGTAAAGTTTGAATTAAAAACTTGCAGTAGCATGCAATAGAAGGTTTGCAAAAACATTTTGCTCTAAATTCTGATAGGTAGTACTATTTTGATGAACACTCTGTTAGAATGACTGGAAACTTAATTTTTTCATATATGTTAATTAGATTACAGCTATGAGCAAGCATCAAATTTGTAGATGGAGCTAGTTCTTAAATTTTAAGGGATGAATATATAAGAAATATTGTTCTTTATTATTTTGTATATTCTATACTTCAATGACACTTAATTTTAACGTGAAGCTCCATTGATGTAGATTAATATTTAAAATAATTTCCTATTCATTTTAGAGACTCACAAATATGAATTAACAAAACAAAAATAAAATCACAAATACAAATTAAGCTTTTATCTTCTGCTGTTGTGTTTTTAAAGAATGCTGACTCTTCATTGGAAAGCTGATATGATTAAAATCATGTGATCTTACCTGAAATTAAATATGTCAAAAAATATTTCCTAAGGCTGTAAGATTAAATCTTTAGGTGATCTCTTTGGAGCTAGGCTTTTTCCACTAGTAAAATGCAGTTTAGGTTGTACTTTCTATTTTATGAAATTAAGTTAGCTTGGGATATTATTACAATAGGAAAATTTTAAAAATTAAAAATGAAATTTATCTGTAATATTCAGTACTGAATATTTGGCAATATATAAAGATTCATGTAATAAATACAATGATTAAAATTAATAGCAAGTTTTCTCTAAACTGCATGACAAAATGTTTTGGAGATGGCCTCTGAGATTATTTTTCAGTTGCATAAAAGACAGTTCAAACACCAGGTACAATAAAATTACAATTAAACCCTTAATGTTCTTCTCTTCCTATATTTTCATGTAAATCATTTGTAGTTTTGCTTCCAGTAAACACAACCAAATTCCAAATATGTATTAAATGTTTTGCTAAGGTGTAACTTTTAGCCGATCTGAGTTCTAATATCAAAATATAATTCAGATGGAAAGCTGAGCCACTTACTGCTTTGAACTTTCTATTTATTGTTGCTTGGGTTTTTTTTAGTGATGTTAAAAAAAAAATTAAACTGCAAAAGAGAAAAGAAAACAACTTGAAATACCAAGTTTAAAGTGTTTATCTGTCATGCAAATATTTTATATTCTAAGAGGAATATTTAAAATGAGCAGGATTTTTCTTGAATATTCTTCCTAAATGTAAAAAGGAAATTAATTAATTGTTCCTTTAATGTGAAAGAAACTGACATGTTTGCACAAACTGAAGTGGATTTTCTCATACTTCTATGTGTAAAGTACAAAATGGTTTATATCTATCATCTTGCTGTGTGGAACTGATTTGCATCTGTCATTTTATCTGTAAACTAACAAAAAACAGTTATGCTTCAGTAATGACTAGAGCGTCAAATGGAATCTGTATAATTATGGCACACTGAAGCTGCACACAACTTTCAAAGCATACAGGTGCTTTTATATATTACAGTGCTCTTAAAGTGAAACCTTACAGTCTCATCAAATGTTGATTTTTAAAGTTTGTCTTCAGCTATTAATATGATCAGGTGTGAATTAGAATTCTGTTCATTAGATATGCTTGTTATTCAGCACAAGAGAGTAATGCGAGTCAGAGGAAGTAGCTGCCTACAACAGTAATTAAACATGTGTAACCAATTAGTGGGTTTTCCACTATGGCACAAGCATATAATTTGCAGAGTCTTTCTATGAGAATAGAAGAAAAAAGGTACTAAAAGTGTGTCTTGACTACAACATTCTCATGTTAAACATGTCAATGTAAATGAACTTTAAATATATAATTTCTAGTTTGTTAACAAACCACTGAACTCTATTGGCTAACAACAGTAACATGTAATTTTAGTACTTCTTGCCAAAAAGAAAAGATATTAATTTGATTTATATAACTGGAATGTACTATCACATTTTACATACTTTTAACAATTATGTAATATTTGCTTCATGGACTGTATAGGTAAAGTACAAAAACAAGAGAGGTGAAAATAGTTTAATTTTAAAAAAAGACTTTCCGTATATCAGATGTATACATATAGATCCTTTAAAATTAAATAAATTGTTGATTTAACAGGTTATGTGGAGTTATATTGTGCCTATGGTGTCTCTATGCAGTATAAAGATAATAAATCTAAGTAGCACAAAGACCCCACTTGAGTAACAGAAGCTCAGTTTGTCGTGTCAGGTGCTGATTTGAGTTTGAAAGGTTACAGATTAGTTTAGCAATGTTAAGTGAACTGGCAAAGGTATCTCTAATTTTGCTGGAAATGAGGAAGCTTGATGGCAAAGGGGAATCCTAATGAGTCCATCGAAAGCTTGCTTTGTACCCAACAGACAAGGTAGCTGTGAATTGTATGAAAATATTGGAAATCAATTGCTTCTATGGAATTTCATTAAGAAGCAGTATCCACAATTGATAGGGCCTCATAATTTGATGGATTGCACTAAGAAAATGATTAGCTAGGTAGAAAGAGTCATAGAATACACACACTGAGGGACCTCAGAAATGTTGAAGTGGTGTAATTTGTACAAAATAAAAAAAATATTGATTCTTACTCATGTGCAAAATTCTAAAATGCAGGGAGGGCTCTTTTGCAAGTCATTGGCTGATACAATCTTCTGATTTCCCCCCCCCCACTGCCTCCCCACAGTGCCAGGAGAAGGAGCAGATGATGGTGATAGTGGGAATGAAAGCCGGAGTGGAAGCGAGGAAACAAATGTTTGTGAAAAATGTTGTGCAGAATTCTTCAAGTGGAGTGATTTCTTGGAACACAAGAAGAACTGCACTAAAAATCCACTGGTGCTCATTGTGAATGAAGATGAAGCCACCCCAGCTCCTGAAGAATTTGCAGAGCCTTCTCCTGCAAGCTCACCTAGCGATCAAGCAGATAGCGAGGCTTGTGAAGAAAGCGTTCAAGCTGAGAACAATGAGATCTCTGAGATAAAGAATACAGAAAAGGAAGAAGAACCCATGGAGGTAGAACCTTCTGTAGAAAAAAGCTACTCCAATCCAGGCACCTCTAGTACAGCTACGCCACTACCTCAAATTAGCGAGCCACCTTCTTTGACAGGTTATAACATGCCAAACACTAATGTAACCTTAGAGACATTGTTGAGCACTAAAGTGGCAGTTGCACAATTCTCGCAGAGTACAAGGTGTGCAGCTAACGCAACCACAGCGAGTGGGGTTACAGCAATGGCCATCCCAATGATTCTCGAGCAGTTGATGGCATTGCAACAGCAGCAGATTCACCAGTTGCAGCTGATCGAACAGATCCGGAGTCAGGTGGCAATGATGAACCGACAGCCATTACGTCCCACTTTAAACACGACTCCTTCCCAAAGCACTCCTGTGCAAGCCACTAACCAGCTCCAGGGATTTGCAGCAAACTCTGCTCTTCAGTTAGCAGCAGTTGTTCCTTCTGCCGTAGTGGCTCAAGCCGCTGGCAACCCACCAACTGCCTTTGAGAGTACTCAGCACATATCAAGGCCCACGTCAGGTGCAAGCACTCCTAATATGTCAAGCAATGGTTCTTCTGTCCCAAATGAAACAAGCACACCATCTTCCTCTAATGCAATTACTTCTTCTTCATTAACACCGGTTTCTGTGTCAAATATTACTAGCAGCTCTTCACAGCCCCCAAACCCTTCAACTCCACCTTCAGTAGGACCTGGAAATCTCCTCGCCTCAACTTCCAGCCTGCCAAACCCACTTCTACCTCAGACTTCATCCAGTAGTGTAATTTTCCCCAACCCGCTGGTTAGCATAGCTGCAACAGCTAATGCATTGGATCCTCTCTCTGCTCTTATGAAGCATCGCAAAGGAAAGCCACCAAATGTATCCGTTTTTGAGCCTAAGACAAGTTCTGAGGACCCTTTTTTTAAACATAAATGTAGATTTTGTGCCAAGGTTTTTGGGAGTGATAGCGCTCTACAGATTCACCTGCGTTCACACACAGGAGAAAGACCTTTTAAGTGTAACATTTGTGGCAATCGGTTTTCTACTAAAGGCAATCTGAAAGTTCATTTTCAGAGACATAAAGAAAAGTATCCACACATTCAGATGAATCCATATCCGGTTCCAGAGTACCTTGACAATGTTCCCACTTGTTCCGGAATTCCATACGGGATGTCATTGCCACCCGAAAAACCAGTTACTACATGGCTGGATAGCAAGCCCGTTTTATCAACTGTCCCAACTTCAATTAGTCTACAACTTCCCCCTACAATACAAGGGGTAAACAGTTATGGGGATTCCCCAAGTATTACTCCCATGAACAGATCACCCCAGAGGACATCCCCCGTGTCAAGTGAATGCACTTCTTTATCCCCAAGCCTAAACAATTCTGAGTCAGGCATTCCTTTGTCTGCAGAATCCCCACAACCAATTCATGGTAGTTCAACCATGACTAAAACTGAACCTGTCAATATTCCAGTAACAAATGCAAGGCTGGGAGATATTTCTATAAGTGGTCAGGTTTCTGTAGTACCCACCTCTACAGCTTCTAGTGCTGTTACTGAAAGCAGTATTTCTACAAGCCTCCCAAACACTGTGCTTCCAGCATTGTCTGACCAGTTCAAGGCTAAATTTCCATTTGGTGGTCTATTGGACTCTATGCAAACATCAGAAACCTCAAAACTGCAACAGCTAGTAGAAAACATTGATAAGAAGATGACAGATCCAAATCAGTGTGTCATTTGTCACCGTGTGCTCAGTTGTCAGAGTGCTCTCAAGATGCATTATAGAACTCATACAGGAGAAAGACCATTTAAATGCAAAATTTGTGGACGTGCGTTTACTACAAAAGGCAATCTAAAAACACATTTTGGAGTTCATCGAGCGAAGCCACCACTTAGAGTACAGCATTCATGTCCCATTTGTCAGAAGAAATTTACAAATGCTGTTGTTCTTCAGCAGCATATTCGTATGCATATGGGTGGACAAATTCCAAACACGCCATTACCAGATGGTTTCCAAGATGCTATGGACTCAGAGCTTTCTTTTGATGAAAAGAATGCAGAGACACTAAGCAACTATGATGATGATATCGATGAAAATTCCATGGAGGAGGACATTGAATTAAAAGATAATGTAAGAGACCCCTCCAAGCCACTTCTACCTTATTCTGGATCATGTCCATCTTCTCCCCCATCTGTAATTTCTAGCATTGCTGCTCTTGAGAATCAAATGAAAATGATTGATTCTGTCATGAACTGCCAACAGTTGACCAATTTAAAATCTTTAGAAAATGGGTCAGGGGAAAGTGACCACTTAAGCAATGATTCTTCATCAGCTGCTGGAGATCTGGAAAGTCAAAGTGCAGGAAGTCCTGCCATGTCAGAATCGTCTTCATCCATGCAAGCTCTCTCTCCTGAAAATAGCAACTGTGAAAGTTTTAGATCTAAGTCACCAGGTTTTGGTAACCACGAGGAACCACAAGAAATACAATTAAAGACAGAAAAATCTGACAGTCCCCCACCACCTACTATTGAAAATGGAGGCGCATTGGATCTGACAGCCACCAACCCCGGGAGACCAATCATCAAAGAAGAAGGTCCTTTTAGCCTGCTGTTCCTGAACAGAGAACGCGGTAAGTTTAAAAGTACCATTTGTAATATCTGTGGCAAGCCTTTTGCTTGTAAGAGTGCATTGGAAATTCACTACCGCAGCCATACTAAAGAGCGTCCATTTGTATGTACAGTCTGCAATCGTGGGTGTTCCACTATGGGTAATTTAAAACAGCACTTACTGACACACAAATTAAAAGAGCTGCCTTCTCAGTTATTTGAACCCAACTTTACTCTAGGTCCCAGCCAAAGTACTCCTAGCCTGGTCACCAGCACTGCGCCTACTATGATCAAAATGGAAGTGAATGGTCACAGCAAGCCGATCTCATTGGGTGAGGTTCCATCGCTTCCAGCTGGAATCCAGGTTCCTGCTGCACCACAGACAGTGATGAGTCCTAGCATCACCCCTATGCTGGCACCCCCACCACGTCGAACTCCAAAACAACACAACTGTCAGTCATGTGGGAAGACCTTCTCTTCAGCAAGTGCACTACAGATACATGAACGCACCCATACTGGTGAAAAGCCATTTGGATGCACTATCTGTGGTAGAGCTTTTACCACAAAAGGGAATCTTAAGGTAAGAAGGTAAACTTCATATTAAAAGAAATCCTGTAAAAATACATAAAGGGCTCACATTGAACCTGATTGTTCAGCAGATGCTGGCTCCTCCTCTTCATCTTCCTTGAGTCCAAATCGGAGCAGGAGAAATGGATTGAATTTGGATGTTAGGCTAAAGTATTGTTTTGAATATAAATGATTTTTTGCAACTAGAGTTTCACTTGTTTTTTCCTATCCTCCTTGTTAGTGACTGCAGTTTAGTATTTAGATTAATTCTAAACTACAGTTTAGTATTACGTGGTATTTAATCTTATTTGTGAATAATGGGAACAAGTCAATTTCATAAAGTTAATCTGAAGATCAATCCAGTTTGTCAGGTTCAAATGACAATTCAGGTGGAGGCTAATCAACGAGGGATGTGAACTCTTCTAAACCTCTTGAACCCATATATATATATGAACCCATATATATATATATATCTCATCACACATCAAAAAATAAATTTTTACTTATTCATTTATCATATTTATATAGCTGCCCATTTTAAAATCAAGTGAAAATTCTGTTTTCATGGACAAGGTATTCTATTTTTAAAGAGTGTTTCTTCCTCCTTTATTAAAAACAATGGTTTTTGAACTATTGGAATTATTGTTTTAATATTCAAAAATGTTTATAATTAAAAGAATCCCAAAAACGATTCAATTCATGAAATAATTTTATGTCCACATTTATGAACCAATTTTCATCCCATTTTCCTGCAAGTTTCAGATTGCAGCTTCTTTCACCATTGTGTCTTAGAGAAGCAGGGCTTTCAGTAGTATTTTCCAGATACTAAGGTTACATAGTGGGACGTAGTCCTTCAGAATCGACAAATGCTCAGTGAGAAGGCTTTCTTGATATTTACAGTGGTGTTTTAACAAAGGGTAATACAATTTTTTATACTAAAGAAATGTGAAAAGTAGACCTATAACATTTTATATCTCCACATAATCTAGGTAATTATAAGATTATGGGCAATCAAGGAAGAGCCCTTTAACTGATGTTAGCCCAAATCTAATATATAATTATATAAAATGTATTTATAAGTAGTGCAAAATAAATGAGTTGTTGTAAGAAATATATTTGAATGTTTCTTAAGATATTTAGTCCCTGGCAATTTTAGATGAATCAAACCTAACAGTTTGGGTAGAAAAGGTCTATTAATGTAAACGGAAGATACCTAGACTTGTTAGAGCAGTCTTCAGTACCTCTAAAAAATACTCTGAACATCTTGAACATCTGGAACTATTTTTAGGAGAAAATGAAAACTTGCATGCGAGCTGAATCAGAAAATTCCTTCTGCTTGACTGACAGGAGGTTTGTATTCAGACCATTACAAATAGAGAAAAAATAAAATAAATATTAATTTGGAGAATAAGAAAAAATAGATAATCTTTGCTTTATCCTTTTTTTAAATAATTATTTGCCATGGGTCTTGTGTTATTGGGCCGGGACATTGTGCTTTACTGGAAACGTCATATAACAGAATTGCTCCCAAGTAAATATGAGTAAAATTCACATATATTAGTTCTTAAAAAGTTAACGAGATTTACAAATTTAGGATATAAACTCCCTGAAATACAACATAAGCCTGATAATCTTGAATAATAATAATAATAATCTTGTGCATGAGAAAGTTAATGTTTAACATTACTTGACATTTTAAATTGTGAAATTAGAATGTCTTCTATTGCCAGTTTAAAATGTATGCCTGGCATCTTTGTAAATTGTGTAAATCTTCTTGCTCGTTTGCCCATTTTTTTCCCTGTCTGTTCTTCCTCTAAAGGTTCACATGGGAACTCATATGTGGAATAATGCTCCTGCACGGCGTGGGCGTCGATTGTCCGTGGAAAATCCCATGGCTTTGTTAGGTGGGGATGCTTTGAAGTTTTCAGAAATGTTCCAGAAGGATTTAGCAGCTCGGGCAATGAATGTTGACCCAAATTTTTGGAACCAGTATGCTGCAGCTATTACTAATGGACTTGCTATGAAGAACAATGAAATTTCTGTCATACAGAACGGAGGCATTCCCCAGCTCCCAGTAAGTTTAGGCGGAAGTGCCATTCCGTCTTTAAGTAACGTTTCCAGTGGAATGGACAAAGCTCGTACTGGTAGTAGCCCTCCCATCATTGGTTTGGACAAAGCGAGTTCTGAAACGGGAGCCAATCGTCCATTCACAAGGTTTATTGAGGATAATAAAGAGATTGGCATAAATTAAAAGCATTCAGTACAAATAACTGTTGGACCACTGCTCAGATACAACATTTGTTCTTTCATGTACAGTTTGGGAAATTAAACTTTAGTTTTGTGGCCTAATTGCCTAGATAACTCTTATGATTTATCAATAGCAGAAATACAATAACTTTGTGTCTGCTGAAAAGTTGTCTCGCGAGATTGCATGGTACTACTTCAACAGTGAGCTGACCATTAGTGAGAACTTATGAACCTTTTTTTTAAATTTAAGCAAATGATAAATCATTGGATAATTCCATTAGGGACTGAAGGAGGCCAAATTGTTTCAAATTTTGTTTCAAAAAAAGCAAAGATACCACCAGTTGAGTAAAAGTGGGGTTTCACAATGGCATTTCAGTCCAGTTCTATCTTTGCTGATTTTCTTCGACTCAACTAGAAACTTGAACTGTTTTTAGAATTCCTCTAAAATTCAGTAAGTGATTTAGTACCCTAATGCTGTCTAAGATTACAGTATTCTTGTCTGTAGTATTTATAATGTAAAGATAATGCGGGTAACAGACAATATACTAGCCCCATTCTTAAATGAAGCTTTTGTATGGCAAAATACACCTGGCTATGTGACTTTTTTTTAAAGCAAGTTTTGTTTTACTATAAATAAGTGGTTTATTTTGATGCAGGCAAAATTGTGAAGTTTTATTGGGAAAGATAGCATGCTTTCAATGTGCAAGTACCTGTCAGTAACAAACCATTTTAATTTAAATCTTTGTAGCTGCTATGTGGACAGTTGTTCTATTAAATGGAAAAAGTGTAGTGTGAACTTCAGTTCATAGTTGGAAAAACAAGTTACAGACAAACCTTATTACAGTAGATTATTCACAACACTATAAGCAGTTGTGAATAAAACACTTCATGTTATCAAAGGCTGTACAATAAAAGGCAGTGTTTGTATAATGTGGTTGCAAACTCTTAATTTATACTATTGCACTTTTAGTATTTTATATTTAGGGAGGTTTGTCTATAATTTGAATCTGAACAAAGATGTAAACTATTTTATAAATAGTACTTTGGCTTGAGGAAAAATGGGAGAAGGGTTTGTTGTGTTTGTCTTTAAGGTCAAACAGTATGAAAGATCTGTGCTCCTTTTAATAATAAAAAAAAATCTGCTAAGAACTGTCAGATTCTTGGATATAATGGGGCCTGCCATTTCTTAGACCAAAATGATTCATTTAACTTTTTTGTAAGCCCACCCTCCAACAGACCTTTGATATGTTAATCTTAGGGCTGTGATATCAGTGCAAGTCTAAGAGAGGCTAAAGAAAACATTGTGTAGGCTTAATTTTGCTGTAATCGGTTCTGTCTCTTTCACTCCCACCCACAAACTCGATGCTGACTGCTTAATAGCACTGGTATGTAAAGCAAAACAGAAAACAAAAATTCTAAAAACTTGTACGTAAATTCCTAATCTCTCTGTTTTATTTAATATTCTAAGATTTACTACAAAGCACAATGTACTCTGAATACGCTAATATAATTTTCATGTGTTTAAAGCATTGTTTAAAATTGTGACTAAAGGGAATGTTTCCACTCTGAACTAGAGTGCTGATGAGGCTGGGGCATAATCAAAACTTGAACAGTAAATGTTTTGTGTACTACCTCATTTTTGTGCATTACAAGCATGGTGGAATCTGACAGTAGGATCCTCCGTTCAACAAAATTGTTCAAGGGACATTATGGGTAGCTGGGAAACAGCACACAATGTTTATGCCCCTGAAGAAAGAATCAGACAGTGAGGTCTTCTCAGTTGTGACTGGAAAAAAAAATAGGACAATCTCTTTCTTGTGCAACCACAACAAAACATTACTATAAGAGGATGGACTGTTTCTGCCATCATATCACTGAATGGAAAGTTTAAAAGACTTACTAGTGGTTTGTTACTATTTTGAAATGAACAATGAATTATTACAGCTCTGTTTTCTACAGCAATGATAGATAAAATATAAATATGGACATGTACATATTATTAAATATGTATGTGGGGTGTATGTGTGAGTGTGCGTAGACATACCACACACCGATACACACACACCTGTATATTAAAACACATTCTATTATCAATGATTGAGCAACATTTGTGTTTGGGGTGTTTCAAAATTGGAAAACAAAGAAAACTGAGGTGGCTTAGTGTTGCTGTTTTTTTCAGCAAATGAATGTTTTTATTTATCTGTGTCCATTTCTGGTGTGCTTTATTTTTTAGTGTTTGGTACCATGTAGTGTTATTTCTTTTCCCTAAAGGATGTGCATATCTTAAAAAGAGATGTAAAGTGTTGTAAATAAGATGGCTGATGAAGGTACAGTAAGACTGACCCCACTTTGTATTCAGGGTTAGGTCCTTCCTCTCTGCATGGTGAAGAGAGACACTTATTTTTATACTGTGATACCATGTAGGGCTAGGAGCCTCCCTGAACCAGCTGGGAATTGTTACCTAGATCCAATATTTTTTATTATTAAATCTGTTGGCTCGACACATCTACTGATTGAAATGGATGTCTTAGTCTAGGTTACTATTTTTGTCACATGAAATTGAATAAAATGCAGGATGTAATATTATTTATGAATTGTGTTCCATGCTTATTCACTAATAGGCTGTGGTACAGGAGTAAGGCTGTTCACACAGCTTTGCAGTTAAAAGCTCAACACCTTGTATTCACCTTCAGCACCTATTTTCACATATGCCTAGTATTGAGAAGCTACTTCTTCAGTTTAAAAAAAAAACACCTCCTACAAATTTACCATATCAGCAATGGGAGAAAAAAGCTGTATAAAAAATTACAATGCTTTAAAATAGTTACTTGTAGCTACTTACCTTGGAAGCAATCATTCTATTAAATTCAATTTATGCAAACTGCAATGCATACTCTGAATGGCTCTGAACTAGTAATTTCATGATGCACCATTGAACTATTTTTGTGCAGTTTTTATGTCCTTCAGAGATGCTGAAGGAAAAATGACAAGGAAACTTGAAGGTGTCGTGTAGAATCTTGAATATATTCCAGTGGGTAACTGAAACACAGCTTTATTATAAATAGAAATATACTCTTTAGCAAGTGAATTGGCCATGAATCTGGTTGGATGCAAAGAAGTATTACTAAATAGATTAGTCATAGTAAATTTTCTTGAACTAACAGAGTAATTAATCAGCTGTAGTTTCATAGGCATAGGCATCTGTTTGACGCTATGTCAAAATGGCATATGCATTGGGAAATGACAATATTACTGAACGTAACTGCATTGTGACATCTGATGCAGGAACAAAAGTTATGTTACTTACCTGGTAATGTTGGAAATATTTCTTTTTCTCCCACAGAAACCCATGTGTAGCAACTTTTAGAGCGTAGCACATACTCTTGACAAAATATATTTTGTATCTAGAAAGCTTATCTTATAAGAAATATGTCTGTCATATAGATAGGGAAATGCCTGAAATGGCTTTATATTTATGACACAACAGTGTATGATCTGGGTACACTGTTAAATAACACTCTTTAGAACTTTCAAGATGGAAATGAATCTTGGTGGGAATGTTATTGGCTAATAAAATTATAGTATAACACAGCCTGCAGATGTTAATATTTTTAGACTAAAATGTTCTAAAACGTGGGATTTCATATTAAAAGGAATAGTCATTTTGTAGAAAATGGAAAAATAGAAATAACATTTAAAATGAATCTATTTGTGTGAATGTTCACCACTCATCTCTGTTCTACTCTTTTTATGTCTCATATAATCTATATTAAATAACATTTTGGAAAATTCAACACCAACCATATTTAAGGTTTTATTTCCTGATGTGAAATACTTCAGAATTTCCAGTCACCTTGATATTTAGCTGACCTGGAGAAGCTGAAATGTTCATTGTTGAACATCTTCTGTGAGAATACTGCTATTGTAACCATCAAATTTCATATTTAAGTAGAAAAATGCTGAATTAATAGGTCATTGGGATATTTCATCCCACTTAGTTCCTAAAATCATTCTAGGGAACTTGCTTCAGTGTACCTGCCAAAGATATGTATAATGTCTGTGGCACACTATCTATAGAAGTAAGGCTTTCCCACTTTTCATACGCTACAAGGATAGTTAAATAAAATTTCTATTAATGTGACTCTCAACATGAAATAAAGTTATTTGAAAAAAATTAAAAAAAATATTTTCACATATTCTGTTTTTTTCTTCAAATTATATGGAAAATAATAAGTAAACTTTTAAAAATTGGGATAGGAAGATAATGATTTACCAATGTGGAAAAAAGCAACTGTTGTCACAGAAAATAAGATAATGTTAATGAATGATAGATATGAATTGTCAATTTAGATAAACATAGATAAACATCTATGAAATGATTAAAAGGAAATTACATAAAGCCATCTTACTTGATTTTCTGCACTAAGGCAAAAGTATAAATTCTCCATAACTTGTCAGGTTAATCCAGATAGACAAAGCTTTTTGAGGTGAAATATTTTTCTTTGTTGGTAAAATAGGTTTATCTCATGAGCTTCATGTCTCCTTCCTACAAATGAATGTGAAGCCAAAGATGCAATCCTAATCCAATTTATGTGGAAATTGCTATGCAATCCTATAACAATTCTCTCAGAAGCAAGTTTCACTGACTTGAGTGGAATTTACATGGTAAGCATGTATAGGACTGAATTACATATCCCATTTGTATTTATGGCAGTGACACATCTTTATTAGAATTCTTAGCTATTATTCTCTACCTTTATATACTCTGCTTATTATATGCAATCAGTTGTAAGAGCTTGTGCCTAACTAAGGAAGTGATCCTTAATTTTACAATGTATTTGTACTTATTTGTCAGTCCACTATTTTTGTTTTCATTTCTCAAACCCATACAAGTTTGAGATCTTTTCAAAAATATAAACAGTTTATTAAAAAATATTTAGATGATGGGTTCTTTTTAATCATTATAGTTTTATTGCAATATGGATTTCAATGCTTCGTACAAATTCATTTATCATTTCAAGGAATCATGACTCTGCAAAGTTTGAGACACACCTCCCCCCCCAATTAAGAAATGGCTGATATAACTCTGAGCTCATGTTGTATTTCATATGAGGGAATTTCCAAAATTACTATGATTCAGCATTATTAATATTCCCAATAACATAGAGGTGCTATTCATTCCCAAGAACAAGTAAAAAGATCACGAAAATGTTCCTGCTGAATGCAGGGAGAAAAACGATGCTGAGAAATTGGTATAAATCAAGTAATTGAAGCAGGAACAAATATATATGGTTCATGCTAATGTACACTAATAACCTAACAGACATATACACCTATGATTTGAAATATCTACTTGCTGTGTTCATAGGTGTCTGTTAGAGTTGCTGCTTTTGTCATAATGCTGAAAGCAATGATGTATGCTCTGCTCCTTTGATATTATAACATATGTATAAAATAATTGTAACATAATGCTGCTTTTTTTTTTCATTTTGCTGCCTGTGGATACTATTGATCAAGTTTACACTGCAAAATGTTATGTTCACTTTGAAATTGTCTTAAATTAAGCACACAAAATGATCAAAGATGGTTGTGTTGCCTTGCTAGGAAATCAAATTGTTGCAGCATTAAAAGCTGTTCCAAACCGGTTGGGAGAAGCAAAGTTCTGGTCTAACTGTCCAGAATTACATTTCTAGAACTTAACTAACACTGAGCATTTTCTGTTTTGCTAAATTCTATACTCTTGTAATCCTAGAACATGCATTTAGCCAGCAGCCCTTAATAGTAGGAGACTCAAGACAGACAAAAATGCTTTAGAGATAGCACATAATTCAACAATACAACTGACTACCACTATCATACAACAAGGTCAAAATGAATTGTGCAATATATTACAGGTAGTTCTTTACTTATGACCACAATGGAGCCCAAACTTGCTGTTGCTAAGTGAGACATTTATTGAGTGGGTTTTACCCCATTTTATGATCTTTCTTGCCACAGTTGTTAAATGAATCACTGCAGGTGTTAAGTGAATCTGGATTCCCCATTGACTTTGCTTGTCAGAAGGTCGCAAAAGGGGATCAGATGACCCTGGGACACTGCAACCATCATAAATATGAGCCAGTTGCCAAGCATCTGAATTTTGATCATGTGACTATGGGGATGCTGCAACTGTAAGTGTGAAAAATGGTCATAAGTCACTTTTTATAGTAAAGTTGTAAGAGTCACTAAATGAACTGTTATGAGTCAAGGACTACCTGACTCACACAAGTGTACTTGTGTGAGTCACTGCACAAGTGCAAAAATTATGTAATTTATGCTCCCCTCCTCCCACATAGTTGTTTGTGTTCACTAAATACTAATTGTAATGAGGATTACCAATGTTATAGAAGATAAGACTGTCACTGGCTATTAGTCATTATTGCCAAACAGTACTTATATATGCTATTTAATATTATTAGAGATGGCATGATTCCTGATACCATTTATAACAAGCTTCAAAAAATAAATTGATCCAGAAAGGTGCTGTTTTTAAACTGAATTCGAAGGACCTTAAGAGTTTAAGACTGCATAATATAATTTTTAGAATTATTTAGGGTATGCTAAAATAGCTGCTCGTCTTACGTATCATAACCCTGGACAGCTTACAAACAATTAAGATTTCTCATAAAACTTCTCACATGAAAAATAAATATGATACATTTACAGTTACTTTCTGAAGTAGATTTGTGAATGAGGTGCACAATATTGTCTCCCTTCAAAATTTTGGCAATAGTTTTCTATAGCACTCCCCCCTTCAGAATCACTTTTTTAATCTTTAATTTTCAAACTGCTTGCTAATAAGATTAATATGGATTGCGTAGCACATAATCTATATAACACATTTTTTTTAAAAAAAATCCACAACTAATATGGCTATTGTCATTCCAGATACCTTGAGCTACACGAGACTGCCATTATTCTTTCATTTTACTCAGGTGAGTTTCTTCTTTTTGGAACAAGATGATGATGAAGATTTCTGGCACTGTAATTTGTTACACAGAGTAACATCTATAGTAATGTAGAAAACTTGAATATTTTGAAATAATGTACTGAAGTATACTAACCCAATAAAATATGACTATGTTAACTTTGTTAAAATTTCAGAGAAATTTCTATAAATACATGTAATTAGTATGTCTTAGAACATACTGTAATCTCATCTTCATGCAAATAACTTGAACAAGGATTGTAAAAGGTTGTGGCAATTTCAGAAGTACTTATAAAATGTATAGCAAAAATGGGTCTGAAAAAGAAATTAAAATCAGCAGGTTTCTGAGGTTCAGAATAGCTTTTTGTGGCTTAATACTTAATATGCAGAGTCAAATAAAAATTCCTTTTTAAGAAAGGCGAGGACCTATCAATCTGATTTTCTTGTTTATCTCATATTTTGCCATACAAATGTATAAGAGAGATTCCACATGATTCCAGTCCTTCTTAAGTTTGTGCATATGTGCAAAATAGAAATTAAAGCATTGAAAGGTTAGCAGAAAATTACATTTCCCTTCCATTTTATTACTAATTCAAACAAGATTCTTTCAGATAATGGCTTGGAATACCAATTATAAAATGAGTTTGGGGAACAAATAATATAGGCATTTTCTATTAATGTTTTATTTGGATATCTTTTAAAGAGTGTTAAAATGGTGTTAGACAGATTATTTGTAATTTTGTACTAAACATTTGAGATTTACCACTACATGAAAAAATATGGGCTGACTGAGCATCAGGACTAGAGAAGCTCACTGTTCAATGCTGAATTTTGAATACCAAATTAATAATCTTGGATCTTGTTTTCTGTCTATGAACTGGCCATGATTGATGTAATGGAAAGAAATGAATTATTTAATTATTTTCTCATCAAGATTAATGGTTCATTTAAAAATTAGGATGAATTAGAATTTCTTTTCCTTACGTTTTTCTTTTTCCTTATCTTTTTTGTACAGTAAACAAAAATTAAACAATAAAAAATCATAAAGAAATGGAAGTAGAAAATATTTAAAAATAAAATGTAGTTTGGCAATATACATGCTCATATTCAAATGTTTCTAATATGAAGATATGATCTTCATTCTAATGATCTGTTCTTCATTGCTTTACAATCAATTTAGTAATATCACTTTCACTTAATCCTAATGCCTGTTGATTCCAATATCATTATTTGATATCACCCACAAGTCCAGCTCCAATTTACATAGAAGCAATAATTAGACATTCAGGTCTCTGCAGAAAAGTTTTGCTTTGATTGCCTTCCAGATAGACATAAAATTAACCTAGAGGGAAGTTGATCCCTAAACTTCCCAACACATAAAAATATTGTCCCTGAGCTGTTCTCTCTGTAAACTTGCATACATTATTAAAATTTTGATTTAACCATTAGGATTAAATATACAGCATAAGACAACATTCTGGCCTTCAAACAGATTAATAGTCTATCTAGAGATGCCAGAAGAGATGTTTCTTCTCATGCCTTCTACCTCTGCATTTTGGCTTCTTCTGGTACCCTGGAACAAAAGATCATTTGACAGGTTTTGTATTGGAGGGATGAATAAATATTTTTGTTATGGTCACTGACCAAAATTTGGAAACAAAGACACATAAAAAATGAAGTCTAAAATAAAACAAGATAAAATATCGTAATAGATGGTGGATTCTTTATAGACAATCAGCCTAATTTATAGCCAGTATAACAAAATTTAGCTACGTCCAAGGAAACTGAATCATGCTGATCTGATAACAGATAAAAATGATCAGAACTTCCAGGGCTTCTTACCAGATAAGACGTGAGTTCTTATAAAGGGTACAGGACAGGTAGTCCTTGACTTACAACAGTTCATTTAGTGACCGTTCAGTTACAACGGCACTGAAAAAAGCAACTTAAGACCGTTTTTCACACCTATGTCGGTTGCAGTGTCCTCATGGTCATATGATCAAAAAATTCAGACACTTGGCAACTAGCTCATTTTTATGACAGTTGCAGTGTCCCAGTGATCACCTTTTGCCACCTTCTGACAAGCAAAGTTATTTGGGAGGCCAGATTCACTTAACAACCATGTTACTAAGAACTGCAGCGATTCACTTAACAACTGGCAGAAAAAGTCATAAAAAGAGGCAAAGTTCAATTAAAAATGTCTCACTTAGCAACAGAAATGTTGGGCTCAATTTTGGCCGTAAGTAGAGGACTATCTGTATACTAATTGCCTCTTGCCCACAGTTCATAGGGGACTTTTTTGTATTAGCCTGCTAAATTTTCTGTGGGGGAGAGCATTGAAGGTCGTGCTTTTAGAATTTGGAAACAGTTACGTGATGTAAGTATTTGTAAAAAGACTGATATTTTACTAATATTCAAAGACATTTCAGAGGCTTGACTATCAGGAGAACATTCTTACATAGAACCAACAGCTTCTGATGGGCTTCCAGGTCTTTGATATATTGTTTTAAATGTGCCAAATACATGCTCATAACCCATAATTAGCAGTGCCTCTCCAGAAAAGCCGAGATGTTGACATTTTTGTGAGATTCTCCTGAACCATGTTGTTCTCAAATAATAAAAGAACTTCAACTTATGGAAAGAAGAAATACAGTCAACCAATATTTATGAAACAGGTCCATGCACCGGTTTCAACTGTAGATAACCCTGCCTCTATCCTTAATACTACATTTGAATGCAAGGGACTACCTGGAATACAGCCCTTAGGAATTTACAGATTCCTAGATTGCATTTTTAAAGCAGATTAAAGGAAGTGTAAGATCCTACTAGGCCAGTGGTGTCAAACTGGTGGCCCATGGGCCGGATGAGTCATGCACAGGCCATGCCCACCTTCGCTCTGCAAAGGCAAAAAAGTCACGATACGTCTTGTGACACAATCAAGTTTGACACCTGTGTACTAGAAAAATAGAAGTATTTTGCCTGAGTCTTACCTGAATATAGCTTCAGTGCTAATGAGATATGCTGCACTCCTCTGGTAAAGAGAAATGATTGAATTGTGGCCACTATTTTTACATAGATATACATACTTTTTTTTTTGAAGTTTTTAATAGACATGCTAAAAATAAATACAGACTAAACTAAAAGATAAAGAAGTTTAAAAAGTACAAGAGAAAGAAAAAAAATAAAAACAAAAAAGGGATCAGAAATAAAGACAATAACAAAGTGGTTTCCATCTTCATCATTCTTGAGTGTAAGATAACTCTTTACCCTGTTTTAAAATTAAAAATAAATTTAAATTTATTCTTCCTATATCTAACTTTTATTTACCCACAATCCAGGGATCATTATATTTTCAGTTCTGGTTTAGCAAAATGTCCACTAGAAGCTATTAGAAATAAACAAATAATTTATTCCTGAACAAATAATACAACTTCATACTCCTGCCTTTTGCACTTCAAATCTTGACGTCTAAGTCATTTTAGTGGTCAGATTTGGTCTTTCATCAATTTTTGGCATTCCAAACAATTCTTCAGATCCTATACGGAAGGATTTTGTAAAATCAGTAAAAAACGCATCATTCAAGTTTTCTTGTCAAAGCTGCTCCTTGTCCAAGTCGTCTTAATTTATCTTTTGTATTTCCATTTTAAACATTTTTTCGATTTTATTATATTCCATACTTTCAAGTTCTATTATGCCTATGTCAGCTAAAATTAGTTTTTAAAATCTTCCTTAACATCTTCAAAAATTTTAACTGTTGGGACGTGTGATTTCTAAGTTATTGTTAATATCTCAGTCCATTTTTAAATTTCTCCTTAACTCAAAATTTATACAGAATTGCCCATTTTTAAAGATACACCTCAGCCTGCATTTTTTCTATGCTTGGTCCATTAGTCCACTGTAATGTCAGAAGAAGTCCTTTGGTTCTCTCAGTTCCTAATATGGATTTAATTCTATATCCGTTATTTTCCACAAGTGTATTATTTAATTATATACTTGTTTTTCAAATCTTAAAGCAAAAGTGCAAATGTTCCAAAACCTGGTGGTGCGGCAGACTAAAGCACTGTTATTAACATCAGCTGCCTGCAATTACTGCAAGTTCAAATCTCACCAGGCTCAAGGTTGACTCAGCCTTCCATCCTTTCTAAGGTAGGTAAAATGAGGACCCGGATTGTGGGGGCAATAAGCTGACTTTGTATAAAAATATACAAAAGTATGAAGGCTATTGCTTAACGCATTGTAAGCCATCCTGAGTCTCCGGAGAAGAGCGGCATATAAATTAAATTTTAAAAAAAATTTATCTGGTCTCTTAGTCCATTCGTAACTTAAATCAAAACCTTTTTTTTGGCCAATTATATATTGTTTATAAAACCATTAAGTCTCTATTGAAAATTCCCTATATCAAAGAAAGAATATAAAACCAGGTATTAAAGTTGACATTTTGAAGTCTCTAATATCTGTGAAATACTTAGAGTTCATTTTTTGAAAGTGATTAGAAAGTGAGTGCACCTGGCTTAGTGTCCTTTTTAAATTCTCAACTGCAGCTAAGAGCAAGATATCATCTCTCTTTATTTCCTGCTACTCAATCTCATAGGAGACTGCTGTTTTGCAATCCTCTTGCAAGGAGCTGCTTTTTGGAGTTTTGTGGGCAATGGCCTGTCTTCCATGTTTCTAAAGAAGTTGCTGGTCCTTTGTTCTTCACCACGGCCATCCAACTCAGCTGTTCACAAGTCTTCAGCCATGACTCTTGCTGTATGGCCACTGTTTTTTTTTTAGCATTTTTATAATTTAATTTATAATTATAAATTTATAATTTTATAAACCGTAAGTTTGGTTTGCACTGCATTTTGTGAAATTGAAAAACCATGACTAAATATTTAAAAGATTTTACTTACCTCCAGGTGTGCAGTTTAGGGTTCTCTATAAAAATCAGGATCTTAGTTTTATTATAGTTGATTTCAAGTGCTTCCTCAGAGCAGTAATTGGCCAGAGCATTCAGAAATTAAGTCCAATTAACATTTGAGATAGAAGTACCTGCATATAACAAAGTTGCAATGTATTTTCTAGTTTTGGCACGATGTTCTAATTGATTTAGTTTGGCACCGAGGGGATTTATGTACAAATTAAGCAAGGATGCTAAAATACATTCCTGCTCACTCCTCTGTAGCTTGGAACCTCATTACTAGAGTAGCCTTACTCACTGCATCAAACTTTGATTCTAGAATTCCTATACAGATTATGCATAAGCAATAGTAACAGTCTGTCAGTTGTAATATTTTTAAGCTTAGTCCTCCTTAGCCTTGCTCTGGGAACTAGATTGAATGCAGACCTAAAAATTTCTAAATATGATAAACAATAAATAAAAGTGATAAATGCAGTGAATAATATTGACTGTTTTAGAGGTGCCTTTTTTTGGCCAGGTGATAAAGAGCATGTCCATAAACAGAATATCTAGCCTTGAAGCCCATTTTCCCATGTGCCAAAATATGCTTTAGATCAATCCAGTGAACTAATTTTTTGGATAAGTGTCTGGCATAGAACTTACTTAAAAAGTTAACAGACCTATATAAATAGTAGTCAGGTGTCTGATACCCATTTTATGAATGGGCACTGTGAAGGCTAGGCCCCAGTCCTCTAGAATTTGTGTAGTGGATTAATGTAAGTAAACAGGGCAGTAAGAACTGGGGTCCAGTGTTCCAAAATATTGCATATTTCAGAGTAATAAATTCCTTGCCTGGAGCTTTACTAGGCTTTAGCTGATTTATGCATCTTTGTTTCAGCAATTGAAGCTAAGGCCCAATTAGGGATCATGTTAACATTAAGATTTAATGGAAACTCTTCCTGTGAATGTAATGCTCCAAAGTGATCCTCCCACAAAGATGCAGGTGAGAGGTGCAGAAGTGAAAAGGGACCTGTCAATTAAGGGGGAAGCTATCAAGATGCTAGAGTAGAATGGGTTTTCGGGCTTAAGATGCTATTATCAGTTGTTGCCAGAAAGCTGATGACTGAGAGGACTGGTCACTATTTCACTAATTACCGGTAGCTTGCTTGTGTCCTCTCTTCAGTCTCTGTCTTGTCTATTCTGCAAAACGGTTCTCCAGGAAAAGATGAAAGGCTCCTGTTAAGATGAATGCCTGTATGATTCATATCTGTTAAAGTCCTTCTATATATTGTATGTTTTCATTTTATTTGGAAGTATTATGACTGCAAAAGTAGAATGGCCTTGATTAATCATATTTTGTTTTGGTCTTTTGGATGACAAACTTATTTCAAGTCTGACTCCATCTAATATGGTTATAGCTTGCTGCAAACAAGCTATATGTTACTCATAGCAATGTTACTCATTCCAATGTAAAATAATATAGGGTTGAACTACGGAGTCCTTGGAGCTTGTTTGCTTGCAGATGTTTCATTATTGACAAAGTAACATCACAAGCAGTAATGATTTTACCTAGTCTGGTAACGAAACACCTGCAAGCAAACTGAGATCAGAGAACACCAGAGATTCCAGAGTCAATGCCATTCTTGAAGAAACAAGGAATAAGAGAGTTCTGATCCCCAAGGACCACTGGGGTTTATTTTTTAAGAACTCGTTAAGTTCTTAACATCGTTAAGAACCGACGTCCCGATATAGTCAGCTGGTGCCATCGCTGACTATTGGGGGCGAATCATTGGCCCCCACGGAAAGGGCTTGCAACTTGGGTGTCCTCCTGGATTCACGGCTGTCTTTAGAACAGCACTTGACGGCCGTGACCGGGAGGATTTTTCATCAGGTTCGCCTGATTCGCCAGTTGCGTCCCTTTCTAGATCAGGACTCCTTACACACGGTCACTCATGCCCTCGTCACCTCCCGTCTGGACTATTGTAATGCTCTCTACATGGGGCTCCCCTTGAGGAGCACTCGGAGGCTCCAACTGGCGCAGAGTGCGGCCACGCGGGTGGTGACGGGAGCGACGTGGTGCTCCCATGTAACACCTCTCCTGCGCGAGCTGCACTGGCTCCCGGTGGTCTTCCAAGTGCGCTTCAAGGTTTTGGTTATCACCTTCAGAGCGCTTCATGGCTTAGGACCTGGTTATTTACGGGACCGCCTGCTACCACCAATAGCCTCCCACCAACCAGTACGTTCCCATAGAGAGGGGCTCCTCCGGGTGCCGTCGGCCAAACAATGTTGACTGGCGGCCCCCAGGGGGAGAGCCTTCTCTGTGGGGGCACCTACTATCTGGAACGAGCTCCCCCTGGAGATATGGAGGATCCTGGATCTGCATACCTTCCGTCACGCGCTCAAGACTTTCCTATTTCATCAAGCCGGACTGATCTAAGTCTTTCCCCTTTTAAATGGAAATTTTAAATCTGGTTTTAAATTATTGGGGTTTTAAATTTGTTCAGCCAAATTATTTAATTCGTTTTAATCTATTTTAAATTTTGTATTTATATGTTTTATTCTATGGCTGTTCACCACCCTGAGTCCTTCGGGAGTAGGGCGGTATACAAATTCAATAAAATAAAATAAATAAACTCAACATGAATGAAATCCTTGAGTTAAATGGGATTTGAGCTCTCCATTACTCTGAATTTACCTAAACTGAGAAAGAGTGCTTTATCTATATTTATTTATATTCCTATAATTATACTGATAATACTCGACTGTTATGTTTGCGTTTTCAATTTTTAGATTTATATCCACACAGAAGACATCCAGATCCATTTAGAGATTAGTAAATTGGGGAATAACAACTCTTCAGTGGCTCAAGAGGAGGAATGTGCAAAACATATCATTCAAGGAATGGTATACTCTGGAAATACCAAATGTTCCTTCGTCCCCCCCCCCCCCCCGGTGAATGGTGCATTTTGTCCATCCCTATTTCAGATTTAAATCATGGTCCTCCAGCTTTTAGAAGAAGGTGGTCCATCAGCGTTAGTATTCCATTTCCTCCATAAAGGTATATTTATTTATTATTTACATTTTATTTATTTATATTATTTAGGGATACTGCACCTATCCCAGGATCCTTGGCAGATTACCACCATACCAAAAGAAATACCATAGCATCTAATAAAATATCTCTAAAACCACTCCAAACTCCAACCAGCCCAATGTCATTACTACACCTTCAAAGGTCCATCTAATTAAAATAGTTTTGACTGTCTTCTTCATGGCCAATAATGAAAGAGTCAAATCTATCTCTTTGAGCAAGAATATCAGAGCCACAAGATTAGACTGCCTTCTTCGTATCTATTTTCGGATTTAGAAGAATAGATAGTTACGTTAAAGTAATATTAGGTCAATTGGGTTTAGTGTGCACAAACAACCGGACAGCATAATTTGATATTAAACTCCATGTCTAGTAAAATACATTTTAGCTGTTTTGAAAATTCCTTTATCTCCAATATAAAATAGATGTCAGACAGTTGGTTGATCCACTAAATACTTATGCCTGAGGCAGTTGCAAGAGACTGACTTCTCTCACTCTTCTGCGTATTATGTGTTTTCTACTGATAATGTAATGCCCTGATGAATTCAATTTCCCTTTTATAAAGGATGCTTTGTTGATTCAGACAGAGATATAGGATAAAAGTATACAACTGAATTTAAGCACGATTTGTTTCTTCTGAAATAAATCAAGACAGTTCTTACAGATAACTTTTGTAACCTGATACCCTCTGTATTTGAACTGTGGTTCCCAGAACTTCTAGCAAACAAGGTTTTCAATATCCCAAAATATTTGGAGGGCATCAGGATATGAACAACTGAGAAAAAGAACTGTGGCTACATCAAGACCCAAATGTAAGTAATTAGAAATACATTAATCTACATAATAGCTTTTAGATGCCCAACTTCAGATACATTCTGAAAAAATATATAGAGACAAAAGCCTCTTCTTTAAATGGATCACTTTTATATTACTAAGTAAAGCTAGTTACTTACATGGCTGTAGCTTAAAATAAGGAAGTTATACCAGCAATTCTTATACCAATTAGCTCTATGGTAGAGACATTATAGATGTATGCAAATAAAGATTAAACGAGGTATTAACCAACATGAAGTTTCTAATAAGGTCATAATTGACATATGAATATAAAAATATTGTAAATATCACACAGGGCAAACTGATATTTTTACATGAATGTGGAATTGTGTATCAAAATGTACAGAAGGCGTTAAGTGGATGACAGGTTTTCTTCCCAGGCTGGTAGAAGTTATTGATTCAAGCCAATTTAGCTATCCCAGTTGTTTGAACATCTGCCAGGAGCTTGCTATCTAAATAACCTTCTGTTTTCCTGTGTGCTGTGTTGAGGGGTTGTGTAATTATTTTTTTGTAATAAAGAGAGAGACTCCTTAAAACATCAAGAATTACTTCTAATCTGAATTATCCAAATTCCACTCTGGGAATATATATCCAGATTACTCAATGTTCCCTTAGAAGAGGAGGCAGATGTTCATGATTGTGAAACAGATATTTTAAGTTATGGGGTTGTGTGTTGCTCTCCTCCCCCGCTTTTTATTTTTCTTATTCTGCTGTTCTACGCTCAGCCATACTTTGAATACACAGTGGTAGGCATATGGACAATTTTTAATCTCCCAATGAAGTAAATATTTGCATATCCTCAGTAACAGGAGTACACTAACCGTAGTACACATACTGTTTAGTTTTCATTTGGCTGCCAGTTAAAGAAACAAAATTCTTTCGGAACTATAACACAAAGAAATGAAGCTTCTTGACTCATTATAGGAAGATAAAGCTTTCAAATATGAGCAAATTAGAATTGGTTTAAAATATACTGAGCTCTTTTAATGACATTGTGTCTTTTTCTTCAGTATTTTATTTCAGATTTTGTACAGAATCTTTTCGATTTTTTTTGTAAGGCAACTTTATATACACTGAGAAATGGAGAGACAGAACATTTAATATATCAACTGCAATGAAGAGCATATACTATAGTTGTCTCAAAAATGGTATAGCTAAGTAGATTCAATTTATAGGTTTAGAAAACAAATATATGAATAAAATGATAATTAAAAAACCCTCCCTGAATAATATTGTATTTTCAAAACAGACTTTAAAGGGAACAAAAATAAAAACACCCTCATAATTCCATAGGTTCCTGATATTGCTAAAATATATCTTAAGAAGCAAAAAGAGAAAGGAGAAGAAGCTGAAATGAATGAAAAACTGCATAGATCCCTCAAAAAGTAATCCTTTCGAAAGCAACTACAATCCTGAGTAATTGGGAAAGGGTGGAGAACCTCAACCTATCAGGTGGCCAATCCAACCCCTCAGGGCTTCAAATTACTTCTTCCTGCCCCAATAATTAGATCTACTCATGCAGTTTCCTCCTATAGTGCATATGCAAGAATAAGACACAGTAAATTTAAGTAGGATCTACTCTGCATATTCCTCAATTGACTGCCAGGTTAAATTACTGCTGAAGACCTATATGATTCAAACCTTCCATGTTCTAGAAGTAGATCCCATCAAACAAAACGGAATAAATTTATATCTCATTATGCATACAGAGAAAAATAATTTTGATAGAACCAGTTTGGTATTGTGGTTAAGACATCAAGTAGAAACCTAGAGAGGATGAATGCTCATAAATCTGGCCTTAGATAAAAAGCCAGCTGGGTGATTTGGGGCCAGACACACTCTCTCTCAACCCTAGGAAGAAGGAACTGCTATGTCACTTCTGAAAATAATGCCAAAATTCCCAAAGAAAATTCAAGCAAGAAGGGATCTCTCTCCCTCTCCTTCATATAATCATGAACGCATTTTCAGAGAAGAAGATGTATTGGATATGTTTGCCACTTTGAATATTTGTAGAAATAAAGGCAGGATGTAAATACATAAATAAAGATTGCATTGAAATCATAATGCAAACAATCCATTTTTATTTCCAGTATATTTGAATACAGATAGACATACATACACGCATTGTATAAATATTGAAAAGACATATTGGAAGACTTTAAAAAGATTTCTACAGTTATTAATGAGCCATCCCTAGATTATTTTATATTCCATTTTTGTTTTTAGGATAATAGACAGACAGACAGACAGGGAGAAGCAGTAGAGACTCACAGTTTTTGTACTGGTAGATGTGATGGATATGAGCTATTTCTATCAAGACAACTGATGATTGAGAAGCAAAGCTTTCATTTATGATATTGCATCCAGGAAATAATAATCTCAGAATGTAACTCTATTACCAGATCCATATCTGAGAAAGAGAAAACATATGGAGTAAGTAAACATGTCTAGTCTCATAAAATATTTCTGAGACTGCATACCAAGACTTTTGGTATTAAAAATAATACCAGAGAGGAAGTTTTGTTAATGTGTTTGCTTATTCAGCTAATAATACTAAAAAGCAAAATCTTTATCCAAACATCCCATAAAAGTTACTACAGGTTAAATAAACACAAATGTTTAATAATGAATTCTATCGTATAGAAAATTGCAGATAGTGCAATCCTGTACATCTGAGGTACAAGACACCCCAATTTTATAAACTTAATTTTTTAAAAAAGACTGTCCCATCGAATTCAATTGGTAGCATTTTTAGTTTTGCAGACTGAGGGAAAAAACCAAACTTGGACTGTATTCATAAAAATAAATATTCCATATTATTTTTTCAAGAAGCTTGCCTTATAATTATTATTAAATGTTAATAAATTAAACTTATTTTAAAATGCTGAAAAATACCCATAGTTATGGAAATTAAGAAGCTGTCACATAGTATAATTTTAAAACTTTAGGTTCCAAACAGCTGTAAAAGTACAAGCTTAGCATGGTAATTTTACCTTTACATGAATACATCAACAGTATCTCTCTGACAACCAATGAACAAAAGTATGGCAGTAGAAATTCAGCATTGCACTATTTAGGTGGATACTTTTTAGCTTATATCAATGTTTGGTATTAATTATAACTAACAAGTTTAAAAAAAAAGACATCTTGAAGAGAATCTGTCTTTGTGGTTGCTAAGAGCCAACAACATCACTTGATGGTGCTTAATCATTAAGTCAATCTGCAACTCTTGACCCGTTTCATTGGAAAAATCCACCGACAATGAAGATAATCAGAAAGATTCACACCAAACCAAGCAGCAGAAAATGAAATAAGCATTTGAAATGTATAGGTATGCATTTCAACCAGAGGTAAATGTATCCTTTGACTATTCATGACTACTATATTTATTCCACTGGACTGGAGATGAGGTAATAATATATAAGGATTGAAATTCTGACGTACTTCTTTCTTTTCCACCCACCATTATTTTGGCAGAAATTTATTATCAGTACAGTTTTCAAAAAGCTTAGATATTTTAATATGCAAAGTAATAGCAATAGCACTTAGACTTAAATACCGCTTCATAGTGCTTTTACAGCCCTCTCTAAGTTGTTTACAGAGTCAGCATATTGCCCCCAACAATCTGGGTTCTCATTTTACCGACCTCGGAAGGATGGAAGGCGGAGTCAACCTTGAGCCCATGAGAATTGAACTGCTGAACTGCAGCAAGCAGTCAGTTGAAGTAGCCTGCAGTGCTGCACTCTAACCACTGCACCACCTCGGCTCTTATAATAGTAATAATATTATGTAATAGTATTAAACATAATTGATTAAATATTAAGCCATTAAATATTATTAAATTTAATAATAGTAAGTTCCTTCTAGAAGATGTCAACCACTTATCTCCCAGAGGAAGGAAATGCCTCTTCAAAACTGAGATGTGCCACAACACATACTTGCTGATAAAAATGCCACAATATATACTATTTGTGATATAAAATGCAGTTAAGATCTTTGTCTTATACAGTTTTGATATGGTGGGGAAACTCTTTATTATATAGGCAAATAAAGATCTTTCATCTAAAAATCTTATAGCGCATTATTCAGTGATGCCTAGACTATCAGTGCTGTTGATAGTCCAATGTATAAACAGTACATCCAGTTGCATGGCAAATTTTGCAACTGAAATCAAAAGTGCAAGTACCTTTCTATCTATTTACTTCTTTCGTATTTGTGATACTCAGCGCTTACTATAATTGAATGACATACTAAGATTTAAGTATAGGTGTCTTTTTTCCAACCTACAGCAACTAAACTGCAGAATTTCAAATCAACTTTAGATCAATAGCCTATGCAAAAGCTATCTGAATTACTAGAACATGGAATAACAGGAATCATTTTCTATCTATAGTAAAAGCCATGCCTTTGGGACTCTACCTATCTTTACACATCATAGAACAGATTTCTTTTATTAAAAAGAATTTATGCTTAATTTTTTTCCTCAGAATATCAATAAAATATAAATGATCCCTTTCTGTATTGCAGTTTATTTACAACCTGTGACATAGATGAAGCTAAGACAGAACAGCTGATTGAGTCATTTAGTGAGCTTCACAACTTAATGGCAATTTAAGCATGGGCATAATTCTAGTCCAGAGGTGTCAAACATGTGGCCCACACGCCAGATGCATCACACGCTGGCCACCCCCGGTTTGGGGGGAAGGGTAAAAGTCGTGATACATCATGTGACGACGTGATGTGAGTTTGACACCCATGCTCTAGTCCAACACTCTAAACCAGGGGTGTCAAACTCAAGGCCAGGGGGCCAGATTCGGTCCGTGGGGTGCTTAGATCCAGCCCACAGGGTCACCCTAAAAATAAAGGACCAGCCTGCAGCCACATGCAGCCCTCCCAGGCTCCATTTTCAGCCATGATGGCCTCCTGCCACCCTTTTCCAGTGAAAATGGAGCTCAGGAGGGCCACGTGCAGCCCCCCCCCCCCCCCGAGTTCCATTTTCACTGGCAGAGGGCAGCAGGAGACCTTCACAACAGAATGAAGCTCGGGAGCATGTTTTCACTGGCAGAGCGCTCAGATCACCACAGACACTCCTGACACGAGTGACATCAAACTGGCCATGCTCACCCTGGCCACACACACCCCGCCCCCCCCAGGTCAAACACAATCCTGATGTGGCCCTCAATGAAATCGAGTTTGACACCCCTGTTCTAAACACTGTAAGTTTCACTAAAATGAATTTCTATGCTATACCATAGAAAATTGCAAGTAAAATATGAGATAACTGATTTCCTTTAAAGTGCATTATTCCTATTTTTTATTTTTTGTTGGGAAGTAGGGAAGGGAACAACTTTGGATCAGAAAAGTAAGCAGATTTCAATCAATGAGAGTTGATCTGGATGAATCAGAGGAAAATGTGCTTCCAACCGGTGTACTACTCTCTCTTTTGTTCTTATCCTGGGTCTGAAATTGGAATTTAATTGGCCTAAGATTTAACAAAATAATAGGACTGGGAGAAGAAGTCAGTTGACCTCCCTTTCCTAGTCAGTGTGAACTTAGATGTCTATTGGAGAACGGCATTCAGCACTACTAAAGAAGATCTATAGCAAGTCTTCCCTTGCATAGGCACTCTTTATCCATTCCAAGGATGCAACTGTTTTTTTGTTTGTTGTTGTTTTTTTAGAATGAAGCACAGCTAATTCTGCAATGGAATGTGGTATCTTGCTCTCCACCCCAGGCACACTAGCTAAACAATCTGAAGCAGGAGGCAAAAGAAAACACCATAACTTATCCAATTGAAACTACAGGGGAGATTAGGTAGACAGAGTAATTACCTGAATTGGAAGTTCGCCAGGACACCAGGGCCTAGCAAAGATATACTTGCACACTGTAACATAGGGTGTCTTAATGACTGCATGTGGCCGAGATCTGAGTTTTGCATCTGCTACCGCAAGATGTCAATTCTTTCCAGTCTTGTCTTAATTTAAGAATTATATATTACAGCCAAATCATAGACTTCCGTTAGCAACATTTCATAGACCCTTCATCAGTGTAATCAATGTAAGTAATTTACAAGATAAAAGAATGTTAATAGCAAGGACTGTATAATTTGTGTGGCTACAAATTGCACCTGTCTTTCACAGGATGAAAGAGGCACCGCTGTGCTGCAAGAGCAGATGAAGCGCAAGGTCAAGTGTAAGCACTTGTGTTTAACACAAAGCTTCTGGAAACATCCATCCAACTTTCAGGGAGAAGTGGAAATTATAGCCAACAAAGTTATTATAAATAATTGTTGTGTCTTCTCTTCCCAGTGAGCTTGATAAGGCAGTCATAATTGAAACCTAGAAAATATTAATTGGAAGGTGTCTTAAGATGAGTCTTTTGCAAGTGCAGAAGTTTTATACTTTTGCTTTGTGACTTTTCAGCTTAGAGGCTGGTTGAACGAACAGCTTGAAATGCTTAGACTAGCTTGTATATTATCCAGGAAGAGAAGTCTCTTGCTAAATTACAATCAAAATACAATGATGGGAATTCTGATGAGTTATCTACTCATGGTTATCTCCTCCATAATCTAGATTAGGGCTGTCAAACTTGCGGCCCACAGGCCAGATGCGTTGCGCTAGTCATGCCCACCCCCAATTTAGCAAAGGGGGGGGGAGTCGTGATACGTGACGATGCGAGTTTGACAGCCCTGATCTAGATTATGAATATGAGAACTGAGAGAAATAAGCAACAGAAAGAGGAGTACAAATAAATTGCACTGAATTATATAAATAATATCTCCCTTTAAGATTTATGGGAATGCTATATTCACAAAAAACAATATGAGAGGAGACTTGTACAATCTGGATCCTAGAATCTGATATGGCTTCCAAAGGCTTGGATTATATTTTATTAATGTGATTTAACAGTATCTGTCCTGGCCTTACAAACATTTAGGGAATGATCTTTGTTCCCCCCTCCCCCCAAAAAAGGATGCAAGGGACTCAAGGGAAAACGACCTTCATTTCAGCAAAAAAACTAGCATATTGACTTGTCCTTCAAAGGGATTGGCATGGAAAATATTTGAATAGGAGAGTACTAAATGATCCCCAAAATGTAGGACAAATTGTAACAGTGACAAAG